GCAGGAGATTGTCTTGACCATGTCTACATGCCTAAATGCACTGAGTTGCCGCCATGTGATTGGCTGATTAGAAATTAATTGTTAACGAGCAGTTGGACAGGTGTACCTAATAAAGTGGCCGGTGAGTGTATATATATATTAATATCACTTTAACCTGCACAACAAGTTAAATGCTTTGTGAAGATGGGTTCAGTGTTAGCTGGTCATAACAAAGACAAGTACTACATTTAAAGAAAAATGTAAAAAAAAAAACATACAACAGTTTTACAAACAAAACACACAAAATCAAGCACAGCTACCTTGTATGTGCTATTCTTGGAGTTAACTATTAAGTTTACAAAGTTATTAAGACAAAAAATGTGAGATTTGCAGTTACCTTCGTACAAACAAACATGTGGTAGTTACCATCGATCACTGTTGTGTTCAGCTGCTCATGCGGTCGGCCGCAGGCCTTTATCCATCATTTACATTTTTCCGGACTCCGTTTGGGTTTAGGAAATGGAATAAATTCTGTTCTGTCCTCTAAAGGCTCTGGTTAACACGTGTCAGAATTGCACGTTCCCCACGTTTAACAATTTTTTAGGATTGTTTTTCAATAATCTCTTTGACCGCAATTTGTCTGCAATGATGAACCCCGACTGTTTTGTTGGAGTTAAAGTGCTCCTGCAGGTAAGGGGCATTTCACTTTGGGACAAAATTCGACCCCAATTGGTCAGTTGTCGAAAAACCCACCTGATTGACAGGTCGCATCATGTCAATTGAAAACCAATGACATTCATGGCCCATGGTTGAGAAACAGATATTTCTTTTGAGGTCCTCAAGGTGGTGATCGCGGCCCAATTGTGGGCTGAGACCCAAGGGTTAATCTCTGCATTTGATAATGGTTTAAAGAAATTTCTGTCACTTCAATTTGAAATTTAATCAACAATGTGTTGTGTTCCAACAGAATTTACTTTAAACTGGGAAAGTAAGAGCATTATTAAAAATCCTACTTTTGGTCCCAAAAGTTCTTTCTGATTTTGATTTTCAAATATAATTCACCTTCGAGTAGAATCAACATTGTATACTTTCCTCCTGTTTAACTATAACTTGATTCCAGGGGTGTCCTCAGAGAATCAAGGATTATAATGAAAAATCTTTTGTTTTATTTGAACATTGACTCAAATATCCTCACTTTTTGCATAAATACCCTCACTTTGAAGTTGTCTTTATTTTAAAGAATTCGTCTAGATAGATTTTCTTGTTTTAGAAAATTATCTTTGGAAATGTGTCGTGGATTCACTCAGATTTCCTCTTTTTAAAACGTATCATCATTTGCATTTTTTATTAGGAGTTTGAAATCAATTGCAATTAGTGCCTTTATTTTGACCGAATTTTCTCTTTATGGGAATATTTTGAAAATATCTTCCTGTCTCCACATGTGCCTGATTCTCTTCTTTGCTCCTACAGGGGCCTCCTGCATCTCCTCCGTCTGACTCTGAAGATGACAACTCCTCACGCTCTCGCCTCAAAACCAAAGGAGGAAAGAAAGGAGGAAAAAAAACATCAGTGTCCGATGGAGAGGAGGCCAAAGACAAGGGTGAAGATGTGAAGAAAGGAAGTGAGGAAGGAGGGAAGGAGGATGAGTTTGAGGAGGATGAGGAGTTCACCTCCAGGAGAGACAAGAGGAAGAAGAACAAAGGCAAGGCTGAGAAGTCTGAAGTGGAGCCTGAGGAGGAGGAGGAGGATGAAGCTGGGGGTTTTAAAATCAAAACAGCTGCACAGAAGAAGGCGGAGAAGAAAGAGAGGGACAAGAAAAAGAAAGAGGAGGAAAGGATGAAGCAGAAGAAGCAGAAGGAGAAGGAGTCCACTGTGGAGACTAAAAAAGAACCAGAGAAGACGACAGAGGACACGCCTCCCCTGACTGCACCTCCTGCAGCTGTAGCAGAAGAACAGGAAGAGGCAGAGCCAGCAGCAGAGGGTATGACATCATTAGTCAATTATTATTTACTACAGAACTTTAAAAAATAAATCAATTTTCCATCTTCTCTGTCAGAGGAGACTGAGGGTGACAAAAAGAAGAAAGACAAAAAGAAGAAAAAGGGTGAGAAGGAGGAGAAGAAGACAAAGGGTCCCAGTAAGGCTACAGTAAGAGCTATGCAGGAGCTTCTCGCCAAGAGGAAGGAGGTGAGGCATTTTGGGTAATGTAGTCATGGTGCAGCTGCTGTAGTTCTCAGATCTTTGAGACTTGATCTTTTTACAGGTAATGGTGCTTATTGTCAATGAGCCTCATGCAAGAACCGTTCATACGCACAGAGTTGTTCTTAAGTTGCTCAGATCTTTGAGACTTGATCTTTTTACAGGTAATGGTGCTTATTGTCAATGAGCCTCATGCAAGAACCATTCATACGCACAGAGTTGTTC